TATCCAATATAATATACCCTTTGTTGGTAATACTTTTTAGAACTATGATGGCAATTTATCGGGACATGTTCATTTTGCTAGTGCTGTAAAGCTCAGAGGTAGTTATTCAGTTGCTCCATATGAACCAAAGATAAAAATGATACAATACCCACTCGAAACTTAATTGATGTACACACTCGCCTGAGGGTTCTTATGTAAAAAAGAAAGTATAGTCTCTCTTTATGTATACACTAAAAACAAAGTCCCTCGATCCGATCCTAGGATGTGCCATTTGACCCTGAAAACAATAAACTCTTTGCAAGTTTTCTCCTTTTAACCAGTGTTTCCCAGTTACTATAAACCGGAGGCTGCGAACACAGACGTATTTCCGGTCGTCGCTTCTCTCCCTCCACTCTACTTTTCGGGTGAAGAGAAGGGACGACCGGAAATACGTCTACGTTCGTAGGCTACGTAAACCGCCGCTTAAAAGCCCTGGACCTAGACAACTTCGTAATAGATTTAAGGAGGACCTATAAGAAAGGAGCTTCTTATATCCGAAGGGGCTTATAACCGTAATAGAAAAAGCGCGCTTAAAAGTGCTGATCAAAATTAGTTTTGCCTTTACTGGCCATGGTTTTTTATAATAAAACTTCAAAACTGACTTCATGATAATATGTCTTGGGGCTTTAAAATCGTTTTTGTTTTGTTTACCGGTCATTCGGCCATAATTTGGGGCCAAAGGGTGGGGTTGAAGAGGGGGGGGGGGGGGGGGGGGGGGGGGGGGGGGGAACCTTATAAAATAGGGGGCGGGTTCGGGGATGGGAACAAAAATTGGCGTGAAAAAATTTTTTGTTTTATTTTATTTTATTTTTAAAAGAATTTTTTTTTGTTTGTGTTCTAAAGATTTGTTTGTTTTATTTTTATATATGGATTGTAAACAAAAATGAATAAGTTCGTGTCGGTTAAGTTTTGTTTAGTTCTTTTATTGGTTTTTTGAATTTGTGTGGGGAGGGAGGGGAGAAGTTTGAGGGGGGGGGGGGGGGGGAGGGGGGGGGGGGAGGGGGGGGGGAGGGAAGGCGGGGGCGAACCTTATACAATAAGCGGCAGTTTACGGTATGCGAACAAAAATTTCGCTGAAAATATCTTTTGGTTTAATTTTCTGTATTATCAAAAGAAGTTTTTCTTTGTTGGGGTCCCTGAAGATACGAAAAACTCGAAAAGAAGGGGTGAGTCGTCGAAATGGATCAACGTGCTAACTTTCAAAGACAGCTTGCCTGTTACGAAATGATACATACAGCTATGTGATTGTTGTTCGCAAACAAACGAGAATGGAAGTTTTTTTTTTTTGATATATATTTTTTTAAGTTATTACATCAACAGTTTGTAAAGATTAAAGAAATCTTACTTAGGGATTAAAACAAATCAGAATAAATTTTCCTTGGGTGACACAAAAGGCTAAACTATTCCACTATAAACTATTATTTCTATCATGATTTCTGCTCTTTTTTAACATTTGTCTTTTAGACACAGTGTTGAAGCCACTGGGAATTAATTACTCTTTTTTTTACCAAAAGAAAGGCGAGTGGTCGAATTAAATTGCCAAGTCAACTTGACACTAGCGGCACTTGGCACATAATTTTTTGCTGTGTACAAACAAACGACGATAAATTTTTAAGAAGTCACCTTTCAATCATGTTTACGTTATTACACGAAGAATTTGTAACGATAAAAGAAAACTTATTTAAGGATAGAAAAAAAAATCAGAAAACATCATCCTTAACTTAACTGTATTTCACTATAAACAACTATTCTGATGTTAATCGTAGTTTCTGCTCTATTTTTACTACTTTTTATCTTTATTTGTCGCTTTGCATGCTCCTATACATCCTTTGCTTTGTTAAAAAGTGTAAGAAGTGAGAACAGCTAGCTCTTTCATAATCTTGTTAACTATATTTATCGACCTTTACCATTTTACCAAACACTGAATTAAGTTATATTAATCATGTTTACAATTGAGAGCATAAAAGGTCCCTATCAAGGTACATCCAATTAAGAACTTAATATTTCAAAATGTTATCGTGATTTCATAAAATCACTGCAACCTGCATTTATTTCTATTCTAAAATTTTTAAAAAAATGGCCTTAAAGAGATATTGAAACGATGAAACAGTCTCTCAGAAATCATACTATAACTCGCCTAAATGTTACATTCTTTTGAACAGCCCTTCAAGGAAAGAAAGGCAAAGAAAGACAGGGAAAAAAACTTAAGACTATTTCCATGTATCCTGGACGTCTCGGAACACAGAGTCGCGAGTCCTCGTTGGTTCCTGATTCTTGTACAGGATCACGTACTAATGTTTCGGATTGTTCCCCACGCTGTATCGAAGGTGCGTAGGACGATGAAGCCATATCATGCTTTTGAAACGAAAAAAGAAGAAAGTCAATCTCCTTTTAACAAAGAAATTAATATACAGAACAAATATTAAATTGTCACAAAAATCGTTCCTAAATAACTACATGAATAAATTAATAACAACATTATAAACGTGTTTAAAAAAGCTCCTCTTGTCCAAATAATTACAGAAAATGAAGCTGCTATAGTCCCTTGCGTTATTAATACAAGAATTATCTCGTTTATATATCAGATTCAAATATGTTCTCATGTTGTGTACTATGTAAGACTAGTCAGAATTGAGTGCCTTAAAAAGAAACTAACATGAGCAAATTGCTGAGTTTCACTATGCGAGGCAGGAAAGATACCTAACCGTGTTAAAAAAGACAATTCTAACATAGTCACAACTTCACTGCGTTTTTCTTTTAATCGTAATTCATTCATTTGATCCCTCAAAGACGCCGTCAAACTACTCTTGTCGTCCCGGCATCAAAACCTTGTGAATGCGTTAACTTTTTAATTGAAAAATGTGTGCGCATGTTGTTACAAACACCAAACTATACAACTAACTACCTCTATACATTTAATCACGTACCTTTCGCCTAAAAATAGTCTATCGCTAAGTATAATGATAGCTAAACTTTACTTTCAAATTCTCCAATGATGTAATATTGGCAGACAAAAGTCAAATGCTTCGGCTTGTTCTCTGAAACGGGAACAAGCCGAAACATTTGACCCGCATCGCCCAGTCTTCTTAGGCCCTCCAGCGTTCTGCTACAATTACAGCAACTTATTACTTAAGTAACCATAATTCACTTTGAAATGACATTTATGATTTTCCACTGAGTGTTAAAAAGGCAACACTAAACAGGGACTTAGCTAGGATTTTCCAGAGGTACGCGAGATTTTTCAAATCCCTGCCTTCCGCTCTTTTAAAAACCCAATTCCCAAGTCAAGGTGAAAACTAAGCGTTCCTGCTTGTTAGCTTCATGTAATTGCCATTGTCATGCCTTTTCTCTGACTATATCATTTTATTAATCAAGTCGCTTAGCTGGAAAGCGACATTCGGGTGTGGAAAAAAAGAATATTTTAAAGAAACAAGCAGAGTTAAATGAATTGAGACAAACTTTGCGTTTTAAATAATACATTGTTTTTCACGTAGATGCTTTTTATTATTATCGATTTTATATTATTTTCAATTTTTTACCCTCGACTTTTTCAGGTAGTCACTTGCGTAAGTACCGGTAGCTACTTCCCCGCTACAAACTATTTTTTAGTACTATGACTTATCAGTCTTATCACTATCCCCTGTTACTATCACTTACTATGACTTATCACTTTGCGCATACAATAAAATGACTGCGTTGTTTCAAGAAACACTCTGGGGCCTAGTTAACAAACTAACTAACACGCGAAGCAACTAATGAGTTTTCAAAATGTTTGTTACCCATAATATCTGTGGTATAGTAACTGTTCATTCATATTACAACTTATTCATAAACACAGTAACAATTATTTGATCCTGTTGTTGGCTGTAAGGCCCAAGTGGCTAGACTAGTGGAGAAATACAATACCTCTTCTGGCTCGCGGCTGGTGTACAGAGGAGGGGGAGGTCGTCCACCAGAGTCTTCCACGTAAAATCCTCTACCCCTCAAGTCTAGAAATGTAAATCGAATCACAGTGTGCAATATCAGTGAATGGGCCTTATATGTTAAACGAATATTTGTTGAGGATTTTGTGATATCTGAAGGGAATAACCTGGCCTAGCCTGCAGGTGCAACCAGACTTGCGGAGTAAGAACTATCAGTTGGTTTGAGGTATAAGAAGTGTTACTGCCACCGCGATTCTACGTTTTACATTGTAGTGTTTTTAAAAATATAACGCACTGTCGCATTTCCAGGAAATAAAAGGATAGAAAGTGAATAGAAATTGCTCTTCGAAGTCACTCAACTTGTTGCACGTGAAACCTTGTCTGCTAGTTCTGCCAGTAGCAAAATAGCAGCGGCCACCATTGTTCTCGAACTGCATAATTCTTCTTCATTCAATAATTGTTAAATAACTGATTTGGCCACTCCTTTCTTTGCCCTGCTTTGTTCGGCGCTAAACAAGGCGTGTAAGCCACCTTGACCCTTCCCATGGTACTTTGCATTAACCTGAAAGCTTCCCATGTTTCTTTAGGCGCCTGGACATGGCCTGGGTATTCGCCTACGCTATTCGCGTGCAGCTAGTAGTGAAACCTGACCCAAGTAAGTGGTTGCCCTAAAAATATCCACGAATCAACGCGGCCTCACACCAGTTTATTTTAGCTTTACATTATTTGTCTTAACTATAAAGTGTAATTCTGTCAAAACGCTGGCTCCCTATTCTTTATTTCGGAAAAAAAAAAAAAAAAAAAAAAAAAAAAATCCAAGTCAGTGTTTGCCCTAAAAAATTCCACAAATTAACCAGCCCCTCCCCATATTTTTTTTTACCTTTTATTTTTTTTTTTAACAATAAAGTGAAACTCTTCAAAAACGCTGGCCCCCTTTTTTTTTTTTCAAAAAAAAAAAAAAAAAAAAAAAAAAAAAACCGATACCTTTTAAATTAAATTAACTGATGCTATCAATATCCTAAAACGATCAGTCCCATATTATTTCAACGCAGGCCATACGAGTAACGTACCTTTTTCGATGATTGAAATGGCCTTTCTGTTGCCAATTTCAAATAGACCTCTTCGCAAGACTTTTAGTGAAATTTTTCTGGAATCGAGGTCTTCAATTAAAGCCTTTGCTGGGTGGCAACCAGTCATTCGTATCTTCTTAATATCATTTGCTGAATAAATTGAAGCAAATGTGTTACTTCTCATAAGGTCCTCCCAGTTCAAGGTGGGTTTCTCCAAGGCGTGGGAAAGGTCCTCGTTTGCTTGTCTAGATAAGTGCTGGACTTCCCAAGTTTCCATTTCCTGTTGATATAAAATAAAGAGAACCATCCAATAGTAACAAAAAGTTAAAGATATGAGTTGTGTCACGAGATACCGCCACCAAATTGAGTTAATTATAGAAAGATTGAAAAGAATGTCACTTGTGGTTTTTGAAACCTGTTAGCCTAAAAGTTTTTCTATACCATAAAAACTGCTATAAAACTTTGCTTAAAAACATTTCAATAATTTTCCTTAAAAAAGTGAAAAACATGACGTTTCGAAGTTCTCAGACGTCATTATCAAGTCAAAAGCAAAACGCGTCTGACTGAGGCCCTGCCAGGGTAAATTCCGACAAGCGACATGGCCCAAAAAGTTGCGACAGCGCGTAAAATGAAATCGCGAGAAGAGATACCCTCCCTCGGTCGAATTGCGACACTGACGGCAAAGCCGACAATACGCGACAAGCATTTACGAACACCGGCACGAGACGTTTTAAAATTCAGACGGGCGACATTGAACCCCCCCGCTGACAGGGCCTCTTGACTGCCCGAGAAGGTCGAAACATTGGCGTGTTTTACGTAATCTTTTCAAAAAATTTTGAAATGTTTTTAAGCAAAGGTGTTATCGCAGTTACAACCAGACAAAAAAAAAAAAAGCAGGGAAAAAACCCAAGGGAAAGTACCTTTCACTCTGTGCTGTTTGCATATATAAAATCAAGAGCCATAATGGCTCCTGATAAAATTGCATGAAGGGAATTTCCCGCGGAAATGTAGCAGGCTGGCAAAACGGTTTCTCCTCGCTCTTCGCCGAAACGGATGTTTTCGCAGGCTAGCGGAAATGCGTTTCCGTTTAGTAAGAAGAACAAGTCAAGGCATTTGTTGTTGTTAAAGGAGCTTTGTTACGAAATTTAACAAGATTCAACCAGTGAAAACAGCCACCAATGCAAACATGAGAAAACTGCTCAATACATAAAAGACGGTAAAAATAATTCAGCAAATACAAAAGGAGGCGAGGATGGACAAACTTGAGGGATCTTGAAGAAGATTGAAACGGATTGTATAACGGATCCAGCCACCAACTTCGTCTTTCGATTACACACTATGGCTACTGATTGCACCTGAAAAAAAATCATCTTTTAGCGGCATCAGAAGCCGAGCATATAATGCTTCTGGCCCCGGCATTATAGTTTGATGGTGAATTCATTTTACCCGATATATGTGAACGTTCAATTGTTAAACGGTCCTTTTCAGCATCTAGACTGCGAGCAGTCTCTTATTTTTCTTTTGAGATTCGATCACCGCGCTTGCGGGTCTGATGAGGGAAGGTATATTTTCAGCATCCAAAACGAAAGTGAAACAGATATTGACGCGATAACTAATGAAAGCTTCGACCAATTTAGTCTTACATTTGTTTTACCTCGCTTTCCAAATATTTCAACAACAACAAAATAATAATAATAAAATAAAACGGACCGATACCTGAACAACTATCTGGTATGTTGTTAAAAATGACACAAATGAAAAATATAAGATGAAATGACACATAACAGTGACTGTCGTACGTTTTTGCATATTATTTCATAAACTTGAGGGAATTTCCCGGTTAACCCCTCTTTGTGTTTTAAGGAAGTTAAATTTAGTATCGAATTGTATGAGTCATGAACGTTTTGAGCATGCCGCGTCAACAATATAAATAAACTGTTTCAGAATGCTGTATTGATTTCATTAGGCATCTAAAACATAAGCTTACTTGGCAAAAAGAAGAACAACGTTCTTTGGGAGTTTTACCAGCGGTCAAAAAAATCTATAATCTGATAAACGAGTATATTTATGCGCCAAACTAGCTTGCGACTATCTATTTCTCGCTACAGTCATCAACAAACGCAAACACTTTCCCCCGACGTTTTGATATTCCCAGCAGAAAAAATGTCAAATGTTTAAAAGCGATCGGTAAACTACGTAAGAGTTAAAACATAAAAACATGATCAGTAATGCTGTGAAAGATGAAGTCAAAGTAAAATAATTTCTCTGAAACTGTTGCTGATGCTATTATATCACTCTAAACAAGTTGTACTATTTAATTTCAGCTATTAAAGGCAAAACTAACCTCCTGATATTTTTTGCTTGTCATGCAGTTTCGTACTTCGATTAAACCTCGTCTGCAAATATAACATAAAATGTGAGTCGAATCTAGCGCTCCTAACTGATTTAGTATTCCGAAAGTGTACCTTTCGATTCCTCCTTAGGATCGCAACTGAAACTAACAATCAGACAAACTGAATCGCACATACCTGTTACTCCCACAGATAGCTGTTTTCCCGTCGAAGACCACGGTCTTCAGGTGAGTTTTATTGCGTTGACGTGATTAAAGTGCATTCAACCTCAAGAAAGGGGTTTTCCCCAACTGTGACGTATGTTGTTTGTACACACACAGGCCACGTGCATGGTACATGCAGTGAGGGGCATTAACCGCAGCTGGCCAAAGCGCGTTATGTAAATTTAACTATCAAAAACCGCGCAGTGTAACACAAGTCCATAAAAATACATACTATAATAGAAATACGTGTCTCGCAGAAGCTCGCGAAGCTCGGGCAGGGGGGAGGTCCATAAAATGTCAGGGATGGAAGGGGGTAGAGAATTGGAGTAAATTGTGTAGCTTGGGAGGGCGGGTTTCAACACTGGCTCTAATATTGGAATGTGAGATGTACTTAATCTCCTTTTGGTTGGAGTAAATCTGAACCCAGTGGTCTGTCGTTAAAAAAGGATTTTCTGGGACTTTAAGTGGGGCTGGCGTTGTTAAGGAAGGGTAGGCAATGTTTCATAGGTCCCGTGTTTACCCCATCTGACCCTCCTACATCTGTAATTATGGTCAAAAGAAAATGGGTGTGATAGTGAATAACTGCACAAAAGAGAGAATATGCAAATAACTCATGCCATCTTTAATAATAAGTGTAATAATCAATTACTTGTGAAGTGTGTCATTAGGAGTGAAGTGTGACATTAGTAGAGCAGTGAAAATAGCAAGTAAATGCTGGTAATTGACGAAAAATATTTATTGTTAAGTGAACTACAGCAATGAGAGTGTTTGCACTTCTTGTAGTACATAATCCAGAGATGCCAACCTCTGGAACTCCCCAAATATCAATGATCAACCCCCCCCACCATAAGCACAATTCGATCTAGTCCCTAATTGGCTTAGGACATTATATGAAGTCTTACATGAGGTAAAGAACCATCACAATTAGCCTTTATGATTGTAATGGGGAAATAAATTTTGTCACTGATGAGATACATGCGAAAATGCCCTAGAAACCGACATTTGACCGAAAGAAAATTCGAATTTTGGGAGAAAATGGGATAAATTCCAAATTAAAGCACAGAAAAGCTGATAACTCGATTTTATCCGGGAGATTTGCTGACCCATACAGGAGGAGATTGTTGTCAACAACAACAACAACAACAATAAGCTTTATTTGCATGACCATAACAGGGTATTACAGTATTGCAAAAGCTACTTGAAATTACTCATTGATTCCTTGTAAATTAAATATTTAAAATAATTTGAAACTTATTAATCATTGTTTATTTCTAACCATCAGTAGAATTAATCATTCCAGAGATAAGTTTGTCTCTCAATTCAAAGCAAGTTGATATAAATGAAATTAATTGGATGTTAATAAAATAGTCAGTAGAATTAATCAGATGTGATAATAAGGACTCATGTGATTGTAGTCGCAGAAACGGTATTTTAGATTCTAGTTTAGAGAAGAACATATCTCTTATCGAAGAAAAACTTGGACAATCTAATAAAAAGTGAGTTTCATCTTCAATTCTATTACAATTGCAGAGATTGCATAACCTTTCGTCACGTGGTAGATTGTCGTATCTACCTGTCTCAATCCTAAGTTTGTGACTGCTTATTCTCAGTTGTCGTATCCGGGAGACTAGTTGGCATGAGAAGATAATCACACTTGACAACCAACTGTTTTTTAAAACAGTAAGGTGCAAACATAATCACTTACACTGAAATAGAAATTACATGTAGCAATGTCATTAAGGATGCAGTTGAGGAGAATTGTGTTTATGATGATTATTGAATATGCAGTACCCTCATTATCCCTGTAAAGAGTACCAATCATTTGTGAAAGTGTTCACAGAACTTTATTTGTGTACATGTATGAGAAACAAATACCCATGCAAGAGTGAATTTGTATGAAATGTCCACATACAAGTCATGTTGAAGTTGATCAGTTTCTCAATTCTCAACATGCATGACCTTGTTGAGGCATAGTTGCCAGAGGAATAGTTTTTGAAATTCCCAGACTGACAGTCAAATGTATCCTTTCCCTGACCAAATGAATTGACAATTTGTCCAGGTATTAATGAATTCCAAAATTCCACTCAAAACTTCGTGTACTGGACACGGATGACGTAAAGCAAAGGACTTCTTTGTTTTCTGTTCAGAGAAAATCTGCTTGGTATTGTTTCAAGGCTGTTGTTCTTTGTTTTACGTCATCTGTGTCCGGTACACAAAATAAATGCCCCAACTCCCATCACAACCATCCTCGCCACCCATTTAAATTATTACATGATTTTGTGGTGACACACTTAGTTTTTTTGTTTGCTGTGTGAAGTTTTTCTTTTATTTACATTTTTTTTCTGTGTAGCTGTGTGTCGTGTGTACCTGGCCCTTCACAAAATCATTTATTAATAACTTTGATAAGGCTGTCCAATCTCTTTAGCCCTCAATGGTTATTATGGTAGCCTGTACTCTTTCTATTTTTAATACTATTTTATATATATATAATTCAATGTGGAGTACAAATAAAGTTGATGTTGTTGTTGTTGTGAATGTATTAAGCACAGAATGGATTGATCTTATAGGGAACGCTATACCAGTCTGCTTGTCGTTTAATTTCTCAGAAACAATATCGTTCTGATGGAATATGTTTAACTTCGGTGGATATGCAGAAACATGTCACCTCCCTCTGACTTCTTTGAAAGAGTTCAATTCTCCCTGACTTATACTGAAATTCCTTG